TTCTGACAGTCATGTTACCTTTAATATTCTTCACCAACACCATAATTCAAAGGCACCGATTGTTCAGTTTTCCTTATTCATTGTCCAGCTTCTCATGCATTTGAGGTTATTGAAAATACCATAGCTTGAGTTTGGCACATCTTAGTCTTCAAAGTGACATCTTTGCTTTTTAACAGAGATTTAAAAGAGATCTTTTCAAATAGATTTTCCCAGTGTAATATGTTATTTAATTTCTTGACTGCTGTTTCCATAGGTGTTAATTGTGAATCTAAGTAAAATGAAATTCTTGACAACTTGAATCTTTTTACCGTTTATCTTGTTGCTTATTAGTTCAGTTGTGAGTATTTTGTTTTCTTTCTGTTGAGATGTAGTCCATACTGAAGGCTATAGTCTTTGATCTTCATCAGTGAGTGCTTTAAGTCCTCTTTGCTTTCAGCAAACATTGTTGTGTCTTGTTCATATTGCAGGTTGTTAATGAGTCTTTCTCCAATCCTGAAGCCTTGTTCTTCTTCATATAGTCCAGCTTCTTGGATTATTTGCTCAGCATACAAGTTGAATGAGTACAATGAAAGAATACTGTTTTGGTTGCCACAAATGGGATGGCCTGAACAAACAGGGATTTTATTCTCTAAAAATTTTGGAGGCTAGAAGTCCGAGTTCAAAGTGCCAGGCTCTAGGGGCTGGGTAAAAGCCCCTCAACCTTGGGCTTCAGCTCTGCCTCCTGCTCCTGGCCCACTGAAGCTGGAGGCTTTTCTTCACTCAGGCAGCTGCTGGCTGCTGAGGCTGACCCAAGGTCGACAGGTAAAAAGACACAGTCCCAATATTACCAACCAACACGGCAGGCCACTAATTCAAGTCCCAAGATTGGCAGGGCATGGCAAGCTGCTGAACAGCAACTTGGCTATATGCAGAGTTCAAGTGGGCCAAAAAAGCTGGAGACCTTCCTCAAAGCTGCTCCTTCTATACTGGAAGCAGCGCGTATCCCTAAAGGAGCTACTCAGCTGCTCCTGTAGATTCCACCATGGAGTTAATTACCATCTCACCTTGGGGAATACTACATCCAGCTGCCTGGACACTCAAACGGGCCCAACCAAGTTGACAACAACCTTTACTACCACAGATACAACCCTGACATACACTCAATATTTTCCAAATGGTATTTGTTTTCAATTGAAACCTGAAAGTGTGTGTATGAAAGAGGACTTCAAAACAAATGACTTACAAGAGTAAGAATGAAATCTCACTCGAATGATTTTACTGTTTTGTGTGTGTTTATACTTACTAACCATCTGATTACTATTTAGAATTATCTCAGTGTAAATTAAGACCAAAATAATGAGATCTTAGGTAATTAAAAAAATGTTTTGATAGTAGACATTTCCATTAGGCTAAGTTTGTCATGGGAGCTCTGGTGGCATAGTGCCTAAGGCATTTGACTGCTAAATAGAAGGCTAGCGGTTCAAACCCACCAGCCACTCCTCAGAAGGAAGATTGGGCAATCTACTTCTGTAGTGATACTGCCTCACAAACCCAAGGAGGGGTCACTGTGAGTCGGATCCGACTCGACAGCAGTGAGTTTGGTTTGGTTTTGTAAGTTTGTCATGTCTTCTACCATAGTTAATGTGGGTTCTCTCGATTCATGATTTCTTTAAGAGTATCGATCTAAAATGTATAACAGTTACATAAAGTAGGGCCACACCTGAACTTTGTGCTCATTTGGAAACTAAGAAATGGCCTATTTTAACATCTTCCTTTTGTAGATAGGAGAATGTGCAGAAATACTTTTTTTTCTATTATTTTCCCATAAAAATAAATAGAATTAGGGATTTGTAGTTGTTATTTGATTCAGCCCATCTCTCATGCTCCCTTCAAATATATTAACAAGAAACTTTTGTTTTTAAAATTTTGTGTGTGACTGTATCTGACCCTATGTTTAGAAAAAAGAGAATGTAATCTTGGCACCTCCCAAAGGAAGGAATGAGGAGGATATGTTCTTGGCACTTTGAGAGTGTGGGACTCTTGAGTGATGTAGTGATAAAGCAATGTTCTTGGCCTCTGACAAAAGATTTCACATGGCTAGGATTCAGAGGGATGAGCAGTGCTCTCCATGTGCTTTTCTGTTTTGCGTGTACATGTACAAGGTTATGAAAGCAACAGTTTTGTCAGGTGTATATTTTATCATACGTAGACATGTGTGAAGAAATTGTAAATGGAATCTCTTAAAAAGAGCAACTATGCTGTATATTTCTGTAGTGTCATTAGTTGAAGAGTGTAGGGATTCCATGCATATTTGAAAAACAGTAAAATGATAGTAACAAGAAAACTCAGTTTCTGATGATGGAACTGTTCTGTTCCATCTGGTGCTGTCCAATATGATAGCCACTAGCCATGTGTGACTACTGAGCATTTGAAATGAGGCTAATATTGAGGAAGAACTCAATATTTCATTTTATTTAAATATTTTAAATTTAAATAATCACATGTGACTGGTGGCTACTAATTGGACAGTGCAGATTTAGGCATTATTTCCTTACCTACAATTTTCTTTCCTTCTGTACCTCTCTTTCTAACTTTTCCTTGAAGACATATTAGCAAATATAGCATTTGATGAATGAATAATTAGCTTTCTTATAAAGAGCACTGGTGGCCCAGAGGTTAGCATTCATCTGCTCATAGAAAGGTTAGGTGTTTGAACCTACAAGCCGTGCCATGGAAATGTGATGTGGCAGTCTGCTTCTAGACATATTTCAGCCTTGGAAACCTCATAGAACAGTTCTGCTCTCTCCTATAGGGTCCCTGTAAGTTAGAATCGACCTGGCAGGAATATTATTATTATTTTCAGTTAGCTTTCTCACTTAGAAAACACTGTTTTAAAGAAAATTTAATTAGCTGTTTCCATACTTTCTATTTAAATAAATATTATAGTAATTGTTTTAAATTCAAAAGTAGGTATATTACTTCAGCACAGACCAAGTATGTAATATAGTCTTAATTGGTTCTTGGATTAAACCCATATATCTTACTGTTTAGCAACATTTAAGGAGCTCTGATGATATAGTAATTAACACATTTGGCTGCTAACCAAAAGACTGGTGGTTTGAACCTGCCAGCCACTCCATGGAAGAAAAATTAGCAGTCTGCTTCCATAAAGATTTATAGCCTTGGAAACCGAATGAGGGTCAGTTATGAATTGGAATAGATTCAGTGGCATTGACTTTGCTTTTTGGTTTTATAGCAATGTTCGAAAAATACAAGGTGACATTGTATTGTGTTTTTTAATTTATTGTTAAAATTTTTTCAAGAACTAAGGTCACAAACTTAGGAATAATCTTTCTGCAAGAAGAAATGTGTAAAGTGTTGATTTAAGTCCCTAACTACTTGGCAGGTCATTTTTGGCTCTCAGTTATATCGCTCTTATAAGAAAGTTTTACAGAGACAGTTGTTTGGCTTTATGTAATGTTAAATGTACTTGACTCAGTCATTAAATTAATACTTTGTTGAGTATCCACTGGGTGCAAGGCACTCTCTAGGCACAAGGGCTACAGCAGTGAATCAAGTGCAAAAATTTCTGGCATCTTAGGACTTACATTCTAGTGCAGGGATATAGGAAGAAAAATAGCTAAGCAAAATGTATAGTCTGTGAGATGGTGATATATGCTTTGTAGAAAACTGAAGCAGAAAAGGGAAAAGACATCTAAGTGTATATTTCAATCAGATGGTCTGGAAAGGCTTCACTGAGAACAAGCAAGCCATTAAATTTCCTGGGCAAGAGCTTTCCAGGCAAAGGGGACAGCAAGGACAAAGGTGCTGAAATGAATGTGTGCCTGGCATGTTGTGTTATGGGAACAGCAAGAGGGCAGAAGGTTTTGAATTGTGTATACATGGGTGGGAGTAGTAGGTTATGAGGGTGGTGGAGGTGAGTGTGGCTTATAATGAAGGACTTTGGATGAGAAGTCATTGAAAGGTTTTGAATGGAGGAGTGATAGCATTGGCTCAAGTTGTACCTTAAAGTGTCTTAGTAGTTGGAAGTCAACAGTGGGCTCTGATTAAGTCTCTCACAATCCTGGTTGGGCAGGAAACTGTCTTTGTTAAAGTTTTGCCATGTTTATAGGCTTTTCCTGTTTTCTTCTTTTTCATGTACCTACTTTCTATCATTTCAATTCATTGAATGAATATAGAACATGCTAGGAAAGTATTCTGTATTATAGAATTTCTACCATTTTCTTTTTCCTTGCTTTTTGGTGTTTCTTAATCAAGATTATTTAAATTGCTAGTTGCAAATTTTGACACTTGGAGTATAAATTCCATTTATTATTATTATTTATTATATATATTATTATAAATTCCATTTATTTATTATTATTATTTCATCTATGTATGTGTATTTTTATTTGTATGTACATATATGAAACACGAGTTTTGTTTTTAAAATTTTCCTTTGTTTCATATCATTATTTAAATTATTTCTGTATACTGATAACAAGATTTGAGCTCTGGTGGCATAGTGCCTAAGGCATTTGACTGCAAACCAGAGGGCTGGAGGTTCAAACCCACCAGCTACTCCTCGGAAGGAAGGTTGGGCAATCTACTTCCATAGTGATACCGCCTCGGAAACCCAAGGAGGGGTCGCTGTGAGTCGGATCCGACTCCACGGCAATGGGTTTGGTTTGGTTTTTGGTTTTGATAATATTAAAGGTTTCATAATACCTTCTTTATATAGGAACATGCAGAAGATGTAACAGGTATGTGAATTATGTGCTCATTTGGAAATTAAGATATGGTCTGCTTTAACATCTTAGTTTTGCAGAAGGGCAAGTGTGTAGCATTTTTTTATAGATTTGCTTATTTCCTTGTTATTTTCCCATGAGAAGAAATAGAACTAAGGACTAATTTAATTAAAGAAAATAAGATTGTATTAATTGAATAATTTGTATTGTCTCTTTATAGACTGACAGTTTTTAATTTTGTTCTACTTAATTTGTTATTTGTTTTATTTTCAGGGAAATATATGCAGATGATGAACATTCTTAAGCCAATTGCCTTTGATGTTATCCATTTCATGTCTCAACTCTTCGATTATTACTTATATGCGATATATACATTTTTTGGTCGGAATGATTCAGTAAGTCAGCCTTTGAAGGGAAAGACTGTTTCTTTAACAACATATTTATTTTTAAATGTAAATTGCAGTTATTCATTCTTTTTTGTGAAATATACAAATAACATTATTTTGAGAATTAGCCTTCATGTACAAAATTATTGATATCAGCTTTCTGTCTGTTTGCCTTACTTATATATTAATTTTAAGCTTTGATATGATCAACATATTGTATATTACTGAGATTTTTGGCAGAAAAATTACGACATCTTTTTCTAACCTTGACATATTTTGGCAACTAACAAACGTGCAGATTATCTTACTAAAATCTGGCCCTATGTATAATTGCTGTACAGTAAATGAGCTATTATAACTTCATTACAACTTCAGCAGTCACTAATACATTCAGAAGATAACCCAATATTTATTAAAAACAATTCAAAATCTTTGAGCTGAACCATCTTTCTGCCACAGAATTAATGTTTCTTCACCTGTGGTGTTTCCAAAGCTGTTACTAAGTTGATTTTTCCTGCTCCTAATGGAGAATATCACAGTCTTAGGCAGGTAACTGATCTGATATCTGGAAATTATTATGTGGTACAGCTAGATGTTTGACAGTTTTCCATGTAAAAGCATATCCTCGGGGCCTGTGAATATATCATAATAATATCTAACCCTTCTTGCACTGTATTTTAAACTTTTTTCTTTTTAAAAAATGTTAATTTAAGCATTTAACTACATTCATCATATAGATATTCATAGCTTTTTTGCAATCACAGATACATTAAAGATATGAACCTTTAATGTGGAATCTGAATTTTCTGTGCTCTTAATTCTGTAAAATGTTTCTTAGAAAGAATACTAATATAATCAGAGACATACAAAGTATAAACCAAAAGGAAACTACTGCCATCGAGTTGATTCTGACTCATAGCAACCGCTTTTTGGGTTTGCAAGGCTGTAAATCATTACAGAAATAGGACTGCCTCATTTTCTTCCTGTGGAGCAACTGGTGGGTTTGAACCACTAACCTTCTAGTTAGCATACAAATGCCTTACCTGTTACACCACCAGAGCTCCTTATTCGAAGTATAGCTACAGCATTTATGTTATAAAATATGTACTAGTTGATTGCTCTGAGTTTGGATATTTAATAAATACTAATGGCGTTTTAGCTAATTGTCAAAACCTTTTAGTCTCCTAGATAAGTCTTTGTATTCTGGGAAATGATCTGCATTTGTGTTGCCCATTATGGTTGCCACTACTTACATGTAGCTATTGAGCACTTGAAATGTGACTAAGGAACTGAATTTTTAATGTATTTAATTTTGGTTAATTTGTATTTTTAAATATAAGCAGCCACATGTGAATAGTGAGTATCATACTGGACAGAATAGTTTTGGGCCATGTTGTTGGTAAAACATATTAGAATAGAGTCCTTTGGAAACTTCGTGCAACTCAGTGGTCTGGGCTATGAAATGCTTTACTACTAACCAAAAGGTTGGCTGTTCAAACCCCCCCAGAAGTACCTCAGAAGACAGTGCGGGTGATCTGCTTCTGAAAGGGCACAGTGTCGAAAACCCTACGGAGTGGTTCTACTCTGCACAGGTGGAGTCACCATGAGTCACAGTCGACTTAAGGGCAACTATTGTTAAAATACAACACAGTGTACCATCTTTAAGTATCAAAAATCTCAGGTTTTGTAACTAAATATAATTAATGGGAAATAAATTCTAGTGAACTCTTTTCTGCTGATACATAAGATTGATTTACGTTAGTGTGATCTATAAATGTATTCATGAAAATGGTTCTTTTATTCCCTGGAAAGTAAAGTTTTGACTTCTTTGCTTATTGTGTTGGAAATTTCAAATGCAATTTGGAAACCTCTGAGGTCTAACTATCTAAATGAAAATTTATCAGATATTTCACATGCTTAATTTGAAGTTACTGTGTTTGCAGGATTCTGTCCAGAGTGATATAACATACCTTTGTTTTTCTTGTGCAGTTAGAATCAACGGGATTAGGCCTTAGTAGTAGCAGATTAAGAACAACTCTAAACAGAATACAAGAAAGCCTTATTGATCTGGTAAGTAATCAGTTGGAATTTGTTCCTCTGGGTTATGTAAAATAGAAATTAACCATTCAATTAACTGCATGTACAGTTGTGCCTATACGTATATTGAGTGCCTGAGTCCTCAGTATTACACTAAATGCAGGTAGGAAGTCGAATGAAGGTTACTTATAGTCTTAATTGGACTGACAAAACTTGTATACATGAGAGAATTTGACACTGATTATATGGTCAACATAGCAAGGAAAACGTTAATGTGAAAAATGGATGTCAGTGAATGATTGAAGGAGGAAGTGAGGCTTGTGCTAGACTTTGAAGAACAGGTGTAAGTTTACTGGGAACAGAAGAGAGAACAACATTCGAATTCAGGTACAGACACTGAGAAAGGCCTTGAGGTGGGAGCAGGCCTAGCCCCAGGTTTAGCAGATCTTTGTGATTGGAGCACTGCTTTATATGCTCCAGAGTTGTGTTGCAGAGAATATTAGGGACAACTTTATGAATGGCCTTGAAATTCAAGGAGAAACGTTTGGGTTTCTCTTGCTATGCAGTAGGGAGCTCTGGTTCTTGGCTGACCTATTACTTGATGACGTGCATGCTTTAAGATTAATGAGGTAACATTAACCTCACTTGTGTTTAAGCTAACATAACCAAACCAAACCAAACTTCCTACCGTTGAGTTGGATCCGGCTCATAGCAACCCCTCCTGGGGTTTCCAAGGCCGTATCGTTACGAAAGTAGATTGCCCAGTCTTCCTTCTGAGGAGTGGCTGATGGATTTGAACCGCCAGCCTTCTGGTTAGCAGTCTGATACCTTAGGCATTATGCCACCAGAGCTCCTAAACTAACATAAGTATTTTTTGTTTAATGTATTTTATTGAAATATAATTTATGTATAGTGAAATATACAAAACTAAAGTGACATGGGTCAATGCATATATATATATTTTTTTTTTTTTTGCAGTGTTCCTTCCCTTCCCTTCTCACCCCTGGTAACCAACAAAGAAAGTTCCCATCCATATATTAACCTTTCCTTGACTTTTTATAATAATGAACTAATACTTTATTTGTCCTTCTGTGATTGACTTATTTCACTCAGCATTATGTCCCCCAGTTCATCAATGTTATGTGGTGTTTTGCAGGTTCTACATTATTCTTGAGAGTTGCATAGTATTCCATTGTGTGTATGTACCACAGTTTGGTTATCCATTCTTCTGTTGATGTGCACTTAGGTTGTTTCCATCTTTTTGGCATTGTAAGTAGTGCTGCAATGGACATGGGTGTGCATATATCTGTTCTTGTCCCGGCTCTCACTTCTTTAGGATATATACCTAGCAATGGGATTGCTGGGTCAAATGGTATTTCTAATTCCAGCTTTTTAATGAGTCACCGTACTGTTTTCTACAGTGGTTGTATCATTTTACAGTCCCATCAGCAGTGGATGAGAGTCCCAGTCTTTCCTCATCTTCACCAGCATCTGCCATTTTCTGTCTTACTGCACTTTGCCATTAGTGCTGGGTGAGATGGTATCTCATTATTGTTTTGGCTTGCATCTCTCTGATGGCTAATGATCATGAGCATTTCTTCATGTATTTGCTGGCTGCCTGAATGTCCTCTTTGGTGAAGTGTCCATTCATGTCTTCTACCCATTTTTGATTGGATTATTAATCTTTTTGTTGTTGAGATGTTGGAGTTTTCTATAAATTTTAGAGATAAGTCCCTTGTCAGATATGTAATTATTGACAGATAAGAATTTGTTGCTGTCATTTTGTTATGTGCTTTTTCATGGTGTCTATTTCTTTCTTCCATATAATTTTCTGTACTGTACTCTTTTTGTTTATGAATTGTGTTATCACTTCTTTTGTTGCTATTGTTTTAGTATTTGCTAAATATTTGTGCTGGTCCTCTTTTTTATTTTGATGTGAAGGTATATCATTTTTCTTTGAGGTTACCTTGTGATTTATAATTTCTTCCCAAGTTTGTAACAGTCCATTCTATCTTTCAACTCTCTTGATTTCCTCACCATTTAGAAGTTCTGTAACTATGCTGTTTTTTCCCCTCTTTTTTGGTTTATAGTTGTCCTCATTTGCCAGTTGATGTCTCTGGTTCCCTGTTTATAATCTTGTTGCTTATTTTACTTCAGGTACTTCCATAGCTGTGTTGGTTTTTGGGTTATATCATCTTGTGTATTAATGGTCAGTTGTTATTTCCTATTATTGGTTCTCTGTTCAAAGGACTTCCTGTAGTATCTCTTGCAAGGTTGGTCTGGTTTGAACAAATTCTGTTCATTTCTCCTTATCTGGAAATCTCCTAATTTCACCATCATATTTGAGGGACAGTTTTGCCGGGTATGTAATTCTTGGTTGAAAATTTTTCTCTTTCAGGATTTTATATATACCATCCCATTGCCTTCTCACTTGCATGGTTTCTGCTGAGAAATCAGAGCTTAGTCTTATTGGTTCTTAGTCTTATTGGTTGTCCTTTGTAGGTAACTTTTTGTTTTTCCCGTGGTGCTTTCAGGATTCTTTCTTTGTCTTTGGTCGATGAGTTTGTTGATGATATGTCTTGGTGATTTTCTTTTGGGGTCTATCCTATTTGGGGTTCATTGGACTTCCTGAATGGATATATTCTCATCTTTCATCATATCAGGAAAGTTCTCTTCCAACAAATCTTGGACAGTTTTCTCAGTGGTTTTCTTTTTGTCTTCCCATTCTGGAATTCCAGTTACATGTAGGTTATTCCTTTTGATGGTATCCCACATGAACCTTAGGCTTTCTTAATTTTGTTTTGATCTTTTTTTGGTTGTTCCCTTTCCAAAGAAGTATTGAGGTATTTGCCTTCAATCTCACTCACTCTGTCTTCCATTGATTTAGTTCTACTCCTTCGCCCATTCAGTGTGTTATCTATTTCTGAAAATTTAGTATTAATCTGGATTTCTGTTTGTAAGTTTTGTATCATTTCTAATTTTTCATTTATTTTGTCATTTTGTTCTTGTATTGTCTTTTGAAATTGTTGTAGGGTTTTCTCTGTATTTTCTTCAATTTTGTCAGTGTTTTCCTTGATCTGTCTCTCAATTTGTTGAAGGTACCTAAATATAATTCTTTTGAATGCCTTATCAGAGAGTTCCAATGCTGTGTCTTCCTCAGGGATGTGTTTTGGGTCTTTATCCTGGTCCCTCGTTTCTCCTGCTTTATCTTGTTCTTTGTATGGACTGTGATGCTCTGTTGTCTCTGAGGCAGTATGCCATTTTTGTGGGTGTTTAATTGGTGATTATATGTTGGAGTGACTTGCCCATGATTTTCATTTTCTTTGTTTTGTTTTTATGTTATCTGTGTAAGCAGGGTACTGTGCTGTGCTCCTCTATTCACTAGCTGGCAGCACTTATACACTTACCACCTGTCTCCTTTCCCGTTGTCTACCTCTTGTATGTCCCTTTTGTCCTTGGCAAGCGGAGCCTTTTGTTAGGTCCCTGGAATCTGAATGAGAATGCTGTCACTTTAGAGTCCAAAATGGCCACCACTTGTAAACATTCAAAATGGCTGTGCCCTTCATTACTTTAAATAACCAAAATGGCGGCTGCGTGTAAAAAATCAAAACGGCTGCACCCTCCAGACAGCCGAAAGTCCACAGCTCAGGTTGTCTCCCTCCTTGCTGTTTCCCTTCCTAGTCATAGGCCACCAGTGCAGTCATCCCTGCAGCCCTTGGCAACCAGGGCTGATCTTTAGGTCAATTCTCAGGTCCCAACACCACTTGGAAATATTCAGGCTGTTGGTCCTGTCAGAGTAGCTGACAGTCCATTGCTCTGACCATCTCCGCTCCACACTCGCTGTTTTCGTTCAGTTTTTTCCACTAGTCAGTGCCTAATCCACTTCTGTATACTTCCTTTCAAAGCTCAGGGCTCCAGGATTATCTTCTGTATCTCTGTCAATTGGTTTTTCTTTTCTTTGTTGAAGAGGGTCCGTGGAGCTTGTCTGCCTACTCTGCCACTTACTGGAAATCTAACATAAGCATTTAAAATAAGAAATATTTCTTATTTATGTTGTTCAGTATGTTTGTCTACATCTGTATTTATCCCAGGATTCTCTGAATTTCCCTTAGTCCTTCACTTACCCGAACAGTTTCCTCTATTTTTATAATCCCTATATTGTGTGCATACTTGTGTTACTGAAGTTTTTATAAAGCACTGTAGTCATTCCCTTAAGAAATACTTAGTGAAATAATTGTTACATGCCAGACATTATCATAGTCCTTGTAATTCACCAGTGTACAGTAAAGGTAACTGCTGTATTGGAGCTTTCCATTTGTCTTGCTGACAGACATAAACAAATATATAATACAGAGTTGTATTCTGATAAGTATTAAGAAGGAACATGAAGCAGAGGAAGGGATTAGAGAGCAATAGGACAGTGTTCTTTGAGCAGAGATGTGAGTCAAGAGAGAGAGGCATGTGTAGGTATCTCGGGTAAGCAGATAGACAGAGGAAACAACTGTTGTCTCTCTACTGGTTGGAAATCTCTTTGCAAAGAACATACTCTTTTTTGATATTCATAGCATTTACTTTGGCTCAGAGCATTCCTTCAGTATATGCTTAAATAAACTCCATTTTCTGGGTTTCATGTCTCCTGGCTTACTCTGACTTGTTTTCTTGGCTTTGCTATTCACTTAATCCTTGATTATCGTCTTTTTTTTTTTTTTCTTCTTCTTTTAAATTGTGATGAAAATATCTTTGGTTTTCATTTTGAGAGTCAAGGTTTCTTGTTTGACCCAGCCATCTATCTTTTTTTTCAATCATCGTTGAGTAAACTATTGGCTTTCAAACCTGTTGGCAGTTTTCTGTGTTTCGATTTTGTTTCTCATTGTTTGATGCTTAGTATAACCTTATCTTTTAGCCCATGTTCTCCAGGTCTTAGTTCTTAGTCCATGACTGAAGTTTGTCTTGTTCCAGACTGAAGGCCTCAAGATTGAAGGAGCCAGATTCACCAACAGAGTCATTCACTCTGCCATTTCTTGATCATATCT